CCACAAGAATCTTGCCTCTGGAAGCTGGTGTGTACCAGGTTAACATTCCCCATTCCTCTGTGATGAGTTAAGGTGCAGGCCATGAGGTTCAGCCTCTGTGAAAGCAGGAGATTACGGATAGGGGAAGCTTTTAGACCCTGGTTTTCTTACTCCAGAGAAATTGCTCATCTTTTGGTGCTCTAATCTATTTCTGAGAACTTATAAAATGAATATTTAAAAGTTGCCAGAGGCAAAAGTGTTCAAATTTATAACAGTCAAGGTCATGGAGAAAGGAACATCTTTGGGGAAGAAATAAAAAGCACTGCAAATGTTCTTGAAGGTAACTAGCCCTAAGGAAATAGTTAAGAATATGGCACAAAGGTGTAGCATAAGGCTGGTCATTTTAGTGATGTGTATAATAGCAAAAAAGTGGAAATAATCTAGATGTCTCATAAAAGAGGATGGAATAGTTAAATGATACTCATCCATTCAATGAGATACCTTGCAGTCATTCGAAAGTAGAAATGAATTTAATGATATGGAAAGGAAGAATTCTCCAGATAGTTAATTTGCTAACTTTGTGACCTTAGACAAATTACTTCTCTGCCTCAGTCTCCTCATCATTAAGTGGAAATACTAATATTGTCTTCCTTATAGAGTGATCTTGAGGATTATTATGTGTAATAATACTTGGAACCATCCTGGCCCATAGCACACATTCTATAGATGTAAGCTGTAATTATTACATGAAAAAAAAGTCTGAAAACAATGTGTCCCATATGCTATTTTCAATAAAGTGTACATAAAGAAAATGGCATGAAAGTAACATTTAAAATGTCAATGGTTTTTGGTTGGTGTTAGAAATGTACTGTACTTTTTATTGTTTTTGCACATTTTTTTTTTGCAGTATATGTATTTTTTTTAAGATTTATTTTATTTATGCATGCAAGAACCCGGGCATAGGCCAGATGTGCAGGAGGGTGAGAGGATTCACCAGAACAGGCAATCTGACAGAAATATGCTGCTGAGGGGAGCAGAGGGCGAGGCAGGAGAGGTCTGCTGTGCCATGTGGGTATCTCAGAGGCTGGCCTGGATCGAACCCACACTGCAGAGGCTGCGGACAGCTTCACAGCACTGCACTCAACCACCTGCGCCACCAGGGAGGCTCTGAAGTATATGTATATTTCTTTTTAAAAAAAGATTTATTTTTACTTATGCAAACAAGAACTGTGCTGTAGGCCAGAGGTGCGGGAGGTGAGAGGATTCACCAGAGACAGAGTGGGGAGCAGAACAGGTAGATCTATTGAAATACACTGCTGAGGGGAGCAGCAGAGAAGACAGGAGAGGTCTGCTGCGCCATGTGGGTCAGCTCACTGGCTAGGGATCAAACTCAGGTCACAGCAGTGATAGCACTGAGACTTAACCCCTAGGCCACCAGGGAGGCCCCTCCATTCTCTTTCTTTCTTTCTTTCTTTCTTTCTTTCTTTCTTTCTTTCTTTCTTCTTTCTTTCTTTCTTTTTTCTTTCTTTCTTCTTTCTTTCTTTCTTTCTCTTTCTTTCTTCTTTCTTTCTTTCTTTCTTTCTTTCTTTCTTTCTTTCTTTCTTTCTTTCCTTCTTTCCTTCTTTCCTTCTTTCCTTCTTTCCTTCTTTCCTTCTTTCCTTCTTTCCTTCTTTCCTTCTTTCCTTCTTTCCTTCTTTCCTTCTTTCTTTCTTTCTTTCTTTCTTTCTTTCTTTCTTTCTTTCTTTCTTCCCTCCCTCCCTCTCGGGCAGCCTCACAGCCCAGCGCTCAACCCCTGCGCCACCAGGGGAGCCCCTCCTCCATTCACTTTAAAAGAAGATCTCCCATCTTCTCAAAGGAGAGAGAATCCCAGGCCCAGAATACCTTCAGGCAATGACAAGTTCTTTGCCCTACAACTGTAGACCCAACACTGAACTTTACAGACGAGGACAGGATATGAATCATCATGCTGGTGTTTTGTCAAGTTGGCTATAATTGTTTCTGTGTTTTTCCTTGGAGGTGTGAATGTAAAGTGATGAGATTAATTAAAAAAAAAAACAAATATATCAGAAGATAGACATCTAAATAAGTGCTCCCTTCAAAGTACTTATTTTGAGAAATCACACACTTATTTACAAATTTTTGCCTATTTTTTGCAATGAAATGCACATTCCAGTGTTTCTAGTGGCATTAGAGAAAACCTACTAGAAAGTGATTTGGAAGAAAATATCTAGAACCATCAACCCCTCCTTGACTTTTAATCCAACATTTGCACTTCTGGTAATCCAGCCTGAGGAAATAAGCAAAAATACAGAAAGGGGTATGTATATCTAATAATAGTAAAAAACTTGAAACAACCTAGGTGTTCAGCAAAAGAGAAGTGGTTAAGTAAATTCTGGCATATGCACTTGATGAAATATGCAGTCATTATGAGTCTATGCAGACTACAGCAACATGAAAATGGGCTTATAAGATGAATTAGGCTAGCAAATAATAAATTATTATTACCACTATTTAAAAAACTATATATTAGGGAAAGATAAAGCAAAACATACCCAAATAATAGTGATTGCATAAAAGAGGTAGGTTGGGGGTCATTTTCTCTTTAATCTTACTCTAAATAAATTTTTTTGCTTTTATTTTTAAAACATTTATTTTAAAAAGATAAAATCTAGGTTATTATGAAGACTCTATAGCATCATGAAAATGTGCTTATAAGATTAATTAGGTAAGCCAATAATGAAGTGGGACTGCATTTTCCATCCCCTATTTACTCAGCAACTTCTGATTTTTTTTAATTTGATCTTTTAAGAAGATGAATATTTACTATCAATGAGGATGTTCAAAAGATGTCCCATTGACCATGTCGGCTTTTCTGACATGGTCTCCCCAAAATGTTTGGAGAATAGAAACACCCCTGGACTAAGTGTCCTGATTCCAAGGTGATAACTGTGAAGTATATAATATTCATTTGTATGTATAAGGTATATCCTGTTTTTAAAGAATCAGGATAATACTGTCGTGGGCCCCAAATGGATCTTGAGTTGTGTTTTCCTGAAATTCAGTCCTTACTAGCTTGCATTATACAGAAGATGGCCTATAGGTAATCATCATTGTTACTATTTGTTTCGCATTTCCTACATTCTGGTGCTAAGCTACACAAAAACTGTAAAATCTATCACATTTTAAGATCTTACAATAATCTTTTAAGGCAGATTTTTTTTTAAGGTTTATGAATTTATTTATACAAGCACTGGGTACAGTCAAAAGCGCGGGAGGGTGAGAGAATTCACCAGAGCCAGAGCAGGGAGCAGAGCAGGCAGAAGGACCGAAGTACACTGCTGAGGGGAGCAGCGGGCGGCAGGAGAGGTCTGCGCGCCACGTGGGTCCCTCTCCTGGCGAGGCAGCCTGGGATCGAACCGGCACTGCAGAGGCTGCGGGCAGCTTCGCAACCCAGCGCTCAACCGCTGTGCCACCCGGGAGGCCCTAAGGCAGATATTTTTATCCTTATCTTATTGATAAGGAGGCAAGACTTACAGAGAAACATGGCCGAAGTCACAACTGTGAGAGGCAGAACTGGATTTTTAACCTAGGTTATATGACTCCAAACATGTCCTCTCAAACTCAACTGCTGTGCTGTTGAGTTCTATTATTTGCACAAGTTTATCTGGGGGAATTTATACTGGTGAGGAGGAAGGGAAATGTTTACATGGGGAAGACAGCCTGATGTCTTGCTAACATTAGTTGCACTCTCTTTATCTGAGTCATGGAGGAGGCTCTGCAGCTTAAAGCTGTTTTCCTGTTTCATTCCAAGTCTCAAGCAGAGCTACTGTGGGGCCCGGGTGACAAATAGGACCAGGTAGAGGAGAAGGATCTCTTCCACTCATTGAGACTCCAGTAGAGACTGGACCCTCCACTTTGTTACAATGTGGATATTGAGGAATTTCTCTATTACTTGGAAGTGGACACACACTGGCAAGAACATCAAAGTTGGTGACTCCAAGAGACTCCTTGGGCTGTGATATTGGTTGCCAAAGTGGGAACAGGTGAATATGATGAACACTCCTTGTCTATATCTGGAGTCTTATAAGATACCTCCAAGGACTCTAACATTTACCAAACAAGATTTGGCAAGTGGGAGTGTTATAGGACAGGGAGAGGGGCAGCCCAAACCCCGCAAACCTGCCTATTCTAAATGGGTTCTGGCATCCGCCGCATCAACACAAAACATAGGAGACTTTAATGGGAAGGAACTTTAATAAAACTAGGAAACAATACAGGTAAGGCAAAGAGTCTAGTTTCTAAGTGAAGCACCCAAAGTTACCCATCCCCTCGTGGGTAAAAGTCCATCCAAATGGGATTGGCCCAGAGCAAGGCCCCAAAGCCTGCCATGAGTCTAAAGCACCTTCCAGTGGGGACCCACAGCAAAGGGTCAGAAACAATCAGACAAGCCCAGAAGGAAAAGAGCAAAATCAACATCAAGATAAAAGCTGCCATTGTCACCTCCCCACGGGTCTCACCCACATCTGTGTCACCCAGTCCACGACCAAAAGACAAGCGCAGTTTCTTCACGTTTCTCTAGGCTCCATGCGCCTCCTCCAATTCTCCTTCTGGCTCCATCCTGCTTCCTTCCTCAGTCTCTTCTGCAGCTTCTCCTCTTCTCTTCCTGCTCAGCTCCACCCTCTCTTGGGTGGGGCAGGGAACCTCCCCCTTTCCTGGGGACCACCCTGTTACAGGAGCAAGGAAATTATTCTCTGAGGTCTGAGGAAGCTCATCATCAAGTGATGATAACTTACAGTTGTACTTGAATAATTTCAAGATGCATCCTAAAAGTATTTAAGCACGGAATGGAATGATATCTGAAATTTGCTTTAAAATAGAAAAAGGAGCTCTCTCTCTGGCTCGCGATCGCTCGCCTCCTGGCTTCACCGCTCCTGGCTGGCGGCAAACTCTGAGAGCGCCATTTTGGGATTCCTGATCGGCGGATTGGCTCCATCTGATACACTGGAACTCCACCCTGTTTGGAAGCATTGATGAGGCTGTGGGGAAGCCACATGGAATCGCCATCATCGCTTTGTTTGTTCAGATAGGAAAAGAGCATGTGGGCCTAAAGGCTGTGACTGAAATTCTCCGGGATATACAGTATAAGGGGAAGTCCAAAACAATACCTTGCTTTAATCCTAACACTTTATTACCAGATCCTTTGCTGCGGGATTATTGGGTGTATGAAGGCTCTCTTACCATTCCACCTTGCAGTGAAGGCGTTACCTGGATATTATTCCGATATCCTTTAACCATATCCCAGCTACAGATTGAAGAATTTCGGAGGCTGAGGACGCATGTTAAGGGAGCAGAACTGGTGGAAGGCTGTGATGGAATATTGGGAGACAATTTTAGACCCACTCAGCCACTTAGTGACAGAGTCATCAGAGCTGCATTTCAGTAGCCAAAGAGAACAAAAATAAGTCAGTCTTCACCTTGGTATGTGCAGAGTAAGGTACACAGTTATGTAAATGCATCATGTCAAAGTGACTTTCATGATGATCCTAATAATTTAGCAGTATGAATTTACTTTATTTTTATATAATTTATGACATTTTCAATCCCTGTTACTTACAAAGTCAGTTATATTTTGTATTTCATGCAGTGCTGAAAAAAATCTATAATCCTTATGTTTTCTCACCAGAGCAGCCTTTTATTCTATGTTTTGCTCTAATGTTGACTTTCATAAGAAAGGTGTCCTGAGTCAGAGAAGCAGTAATATGTAGATACTTCTTTAGTACTTTGTTGAACCCTGCAGAGGAGAATAAAGGAATAGGCTAGAACTTGGGGTGAACCTCAACGTTGATCCTCGTTGTCTAATGCAGACTTACTCATTTATCGGGGTAGGTGAGGGTAAATCTGGCATGAGTTACAATACTAGGGAAGAACTTTCACCTGATGAAGGAGCTCTCTTTAATTATGCAAATATGATAAGCTTTTTTAGTCATTGAAACACAATCTATACACTTAACATATTGAGTTCAATATAGGTATTTCTTACCCTGAAGAAGCTAACAAAGTAAAACATCATAAACATGGAAGAGAGAAAATATACATAATAACTATATTCCATTATTTCTTTAGGTTGTAAATTGTAAGGCATGCATACATAGGTCAGTGTACTTTGCTGACAGATCACTGTTTCCCCAAGGGGAAAGCATCCATTGGAATAGTTCCCTAAGTGAGCAGGACAGATAGATGTTTAACAGACCATTGTGAGAATGTACTCTACACTGACTAGTAGTGCAGTGGACTGGGGAGTTCACATGAATAGAAATCTTTGGCCTCAAGGAGCTCATAGTCTCATGAGCTACATAGTAGAAATTGTAGGAGTGACCATTTTGTCCTGTGTTCCAACCCATTTTTCTTGCCTCTGTTATTACTCTATGTGCCCAATACTTCAGTGAGTCTGTCTTTTCTCTTTTGTGAATGTACTTTGTGCACACAGTCTTTACCTCCCTTCCTTTTGCTTACTGAAATTCTAGCTCTCCTACAACCTAGCTCAAATACCCAGTATGAACTTTCTGCTTCTCACGCACAGTGTAATTGTCATTTCATATTTTCTTCCATAATATTTGTGTATTATTTTCTTCGTTAGGGAGAAATCTTTATTAGAATATTGTAAGCTTCCTAATGATTGAAACATGTTTATTTTACTTTGAATCCTCTGTGATCCATAATACTTTGTGTCATAGAGCTCTTCAGACACATTAGAAATTCCTTAAATCTATGCAAGTTGTATTTCAACCAGCTCCATTCCAGTCATTTTTCCATTCTCAGTTTCTAAGTTAGCCAGTGCATTCCATCCTCCTAATTTTGAATCTAATGAGGGCTAGGTAAAGATGACTTTTATTGAAATGAGAAGAAACTTTCAGTAAGTCATATATAGTAGTAGGGCAGAATACAACAGTGTTTAAGAATCATAATGGATGACTTAAATGATTAAAATAATGCTCATTTCGAAATTATTATTGAACACCTACTGTGTGATTGTTGCTGAATTTGCTGAATTTCTTAAGTAAGAGGAACACATGTGTTCTCTGCCCTCATAAAAATTTTGAGTCTGATGTGAGGAGCCTGATAATGGAAACATAAACACTTCAAAAATACACAATTAAAAATTATAATAAATTCCATGAGCGAGAGGACAAAGAAATGCAGTGAAGGAGATTTCAGAGAGAGGGAATATCTTTTGGGAAGGTTGTGAGGGGCTGTTCCCAGTGAAGGAGATAAGAATTTGATGCATTGAGATCCCTGAAAGAAGATCCCGTGATTCTATGTATAGAGATTAAAGGGGAAGTTTAGGCAGTGCCATATCTTAGGGCCTTGCCAGCCACAGTAAACATCCGTATTTCACTGTCGTTGTGTAGAGGACCTATAAAGACATACTCAGGGCTGAGTATTGTTTTCAGTAGATCATGGTTGCTGGAGAATGAGTAGATTGGATTATAGTGAGCCAGGGCAGGAGTCGAAGTTTAGAAGTCTGCTTGGTAGCCAAGGAAAAGACATGGAGCTCAGACATGAGAATAAGAGCAATGGAGCTGGAGAGAAGTTATTATGTGTGATGCAGATGCTGAAAGTGATATCTGGTGATAAGTTAGATGAGGGTGGAAGAAATAGAAATATCAAGGTAACGTCTGGGTTTGGGACTTTAGTAGGTGTGGATGGAGTATCATTGAGTGTGACATAGGAAAGGTGGAGAGGCTCTGTTGTGGATGGAAAGTTAAAGAGCTGAGTTGCAGCATGTTGAATAAGAGAGATCTGTCCATTACAATCATACTCATAATAAAGGTTCATAAAGGTAACTAGAATTTTGAGAGTAGAGATCGGAAAATAAGTCTAAATTGAATGTGGGCATTGTTGGCGTAGAGGTTTCATATATGTGTGTGTTTATATTCATGAATAATATTCTAATATGTATGATCTCATATATGTATAATGTTCAAATGCTACATAGGGTTTACCTCGTTATCTTCATAATTTTTTTAAAATAAAGTAACATTGGGTCACAAAAAAAAAATAGAAAAAGGAGTTTGGGCAGCAATTGCAAAGCCTTGTGGACATGTGTCACCTGAAATACACAGTCTCAAGGAACTCTAGAAATGGCACTTGAAGAATGGGAGGAAATAGTAATTCAATGAAGAGGATGTAGAAGTAACAGTAAGTGGGGAAAGTGTTTCTAAAATAGAATTGGTCAAACCTGTTGATCATCAGAATCTCCCCAACCAACCCACTTAGAATCTTTGGGGTGTAATCCCAGGAACCTGTATTTTCCACATATTAATCTCTCTAGGGAAATGTGAAGAACTTTAGTTTAGGAACCACTGATCCAGACAACTCTGATTACTACAACTGATAATTATTTTCAGGCATTCAGAAATTAGATCTCATGGTTGAGAGCAAAATTAGACTTCTGTTCACTGCCTTCTAGGAGCTGGCACTCTTATTATAAAAGTGAGACCAGATCTCCTGAGGACTTCAGGTTTGGAAGAGGATCTTGAAGGATGAGTTCAATATCAAAATAAAGAAGGACGGGCCTCCCCTGGTGGTGCAGCGGTTGAGCGCTGGGCTGCAAAGCTGTCCACAGCCTCTGCAGCACCTGTTCGATCCCCAGCCGCCGGGGAGAGTCCAACATGGCGCTCAGACCTCTCCTGCTGCCCGCTGCTCCCCTCCGCAGTGTACTTCATTGGTCTGCCTGTTCTGTTCTCCACTCTGGCTCTGAATTCTCTCACCCTCCCGTGCTTCTGACTGTACCCAGTGCTTGTATAAATAAAAAATAATAAATAAATAAATCTTTAAAAAAAATGGAGGAGGACAAGAATATGGATAAATAAAAGCACAAGATAGCTGAGAACTGTGAATCCATTACCTTTAATTTTTACAAAGAAGCTAAGATTTGACCCCACAATTCCCTTTTTTAGGAGCTTATTCCAGGAAAAGTGTTAAGATTGGTACCTTTGGGGCCTCCCTGGTGGTGCAAGGGGTTAAGCACCGCACTATGAAGCAATCCACAGCCTCTGCAGCAAGAGTTCAATCCCTGGCAGGCCAGGAAGCAACCCACATGGCACAGCAGATCTCTCCTGACTCGCCCACTGCTCCCCTTAGCAGTGTACTTCTGTCAGTATGCCTGTTCTGTTCCTCACTGTCTCTGGTGAATCCTCTCACACCCCACATCTCTGGCCTGTACCCCAGCTCTTGGATGCATAAATAAATAAATCTTTAAAAAAAAAAAAGATTGGTACCTTTGCTGTATTATCCACAATTACAAATAAATAAACAAACCCTAGAAAGAAGCAACATATTCTGTAGTAGTGATAGGAAACAATTTATACAGTGAAACCCCTTGCAAGTACATATGGTGTCACAGAAAATTTTAAATGCATGGAAAAAGTTCACAGTATTTAAAGTGAGAAGAGGACATAAAACAATATACCTGATATGATCTCAGTTTTAAAATATGTATGTGGGGTCTCCCCGGTGGTGCAGCAGGTTGAGCGCAGTGCTGTAAGGCTGTCCACAGCCTCTGCAGCATGGGTTCCATTCCTGGCTGGCCAGGGAGATACCCACATGGCGTGGCAGACCTCTCCTGTCTTGCCCGCGGCTCCCCTCAGCAGTATATTTCAGTACATCTGCCTGTTCTGCTCCCCGCTAGGTCTCTGGTGAATTCTCTCACCCTCCCACACCTCTGGCCTGTACCCCAGTTCTTGTATAAATAAAACAAATCTTTAAAAAAAAAAAAGGAAAAAACATGTATGTGTGTGTGTGCATGTACTAGAAAGAGATAAAAAAATATTTCCACTTTGCTTTTCTGTATTTATGAACTTTTGTACTGATGTGTCCCCCCATTTTTGCTATGAATGCATTTTTAGTATGGAATACACTTAGTCCAAACATTTATTTTGTTATGAATACTATTTTATTTGAGAACCGCCATCTTCTTATCACCAAAATGACCAAAACAAAGGAAGTAGGAGAGGCACCTGCTATGTATTCTCCAGGCCTTTTAGAAAACATGGAGCTGTTCCCCTGGCCACAGACATATGAATCTACAAGAGTAGTGATACTGTGGACATCAAGGGGAGGGCACTGTTCACAAAAGAATGCCCGACAAATGTTACCATGGTAAACCTGGAAGAGACTATAATGTTGCCCAGCATGCAGTTGGCATTGTTATAAACAAACAAGTGCAGGGCAAGATTACTGCCAAGAGAATTAATGTTTGTATTGGGCATATTAAGCTAAAATCTGAGACAGCTTCCTGAATTGTGTGAAAGAAAATGACTGGGGAAAAAAGGAAGCCAAAGAGAAAGTTACTTGGATTCAACTAATGTGCCAGCCTGCTTTACCCACAGAAGCTCACTTTGGAAACAAGTCGTAAGGATCCTGAGCTGCTGGAATCCACTCCCTATGAATTCATGGTATGATAGGTGTGGGGGAGAAAAGACCTTTAGACTATAAAAAATAAAATAAATAAAAACTTTTGTTAGGAAAATATGTATAAATCTTTGTTCTTTTTCCATTCTCCTTATCATTTTTTTAAAGATTTATTTATTTATGCATGCAAGAACTGGGGTACAGGCCAGAGTTGTTGGAGAGGTAAGAGGATTCACCAGAGAGAATGGGGAGCAGAACAGATCTACTGAAATACACTGCTGAGGGGCGCAGAGGGTGTGACAAGAGAGGTCTGCTATGCCATGTGGGTTGCTTCCTGGCTGGCTGGGGATTGAACTGGTGCTGCAGTGGCTGGCGATA